TTCAGGAGAGGAAAAAGTCCTCCAGCTAAATATAAGCAACTGAACGGTGATTTCTTTGCTATCTTACCACTTTTGTTCGTCTCAATCCAGACACTTTTCCTGATAGCAGCGAAACTTCGGTCAACCCCGACGATCGAGAAGGGTGCAAACAGAAAAAAAAAAGAACAGTAATTGGCACCTTCCCTCGGTTGTGTAACAGAACATAACAATTAACTCATCGAGCCGTAATTTCTGTTCGGCGTGCAACCCTTTGTGACGCCTTCCAATTGCGGCAGAGCTTCTCGTGCAGCGACACATTTCAGATCCTCGTTAAGACATCTCCCCCAACCAACACCTAATACCTGCCGGGATGAAGCTCTTCTTACTCCACCTATGTTCTCTATCCGGTAGAGTTACTCAAGCGGCTAACCAACACCAACAGCTTATTTTAGCTGATACTCTAAAGAAGTACAGGTGCAGTCAGCTTAATTGGTCCGTTTCTACATGATCCAATGTGTATAACTGTTTTACTTTCCTTGCTTATTTGTGTATGCATACAATTACTCATGATATAAACAAAACATTTTTTTTAAACTACACAAATACTTCGCATAGTACGGCTATCTTGTTTGTATCACTGAAGCATGAAATGTAAATATTAGTAGGAAAGTATATATTTCGACTGGTAGGTAATATTTATACACTTTGAATGAAAATGAAGTTATTTTAGTTCCAAGTTGGCAGGAATTGCATTAAATGTTATTTGTTTTTGAAAAAAAAAAAATATATATGGAAAGGAAGAAGTTGCAATTATTAGTTCTGGAGATGGGAACGATTGGATTGCTGCTTGAGTCTGTATCGTAAGGCAATAACGTGCGACTTCCTTCGCATCCGCCGGCGGCGCTAACAAGGTTATCTTAGGCGGAAGCAATTATTGGCATTTTTGCCGGGGATTCCCCGTGTCATTTCCACCTAGGTCGTGTTCGGGGCGACAGATGTAACGGCATTATTTCGCACACAACCGCGTGCCAGCATCCGGCATCCGGTTTCCCGATATATCAGATGATGAAAAGGTGCCGTTATTTCATCCCCATCCCTATTTATCTATATATATTTTTGTTCCCCAGTTATCATTATTATTGTTGCTCGTTCCACGACGTGTGTAATAATCAGAATGCGTCCCGACGCTTCCCGGCGCACGACGCGAAAACAATCAACTTTTATAATGAAAACGACATCGGCTGAAAATTTATAGTATTTACACCCATCCACGTTTGCATTTCTCCCGCCGCGTTTTGTTGTGGATCCCTGTGAGTTATTCGCCCCCTTCGTGCTGCTGGATGTCCGCGTCTGTTATTTTTTTGTTTTGTTTTTTGCTTCTCTGCATTTGTTTGTAAGGTTATTTATTTCTCGTCGTTCGACAATAATTTCTGTTTCCATTTTGTTGGGGGCCCACACATAAACAGTTCGGTATTTCTGTAATTGTGTAGAAATGCGCGATCACAATGATCCGACAGATGCTGTAAAAGCCGGGCCAGGCGACGTGGCCAACTTATTGATTGCCAGTAATCAGAGTGTATAAATATATCATCTCACCAGTTTGGCTCCTCTCCAAGTTTCCCTCTTCAACGTGATCAAATTTTCAACATTTGTAATGTCGCAGGCCCGTCCATAGGAATCCATATATGTTAATACGGTGATGGTGAAGGGAAAGGAGGAAATGAGGAAAGGGTTTCGGTTTCGGAGGACCACTACGAGTTTACATCAAATATTTGGCATGGCCATTGACTTTTATGCGACGGAAATCGGAAGAAAACAGACACCGAAACTCGGCCAACTCAAAAACTACTATTTCTCTCGAAGGCATGATCAACGGTGGTGATAAGTTTAGCACAATTTTCCAACAAATCTTCTTGAGATCGCGTAAGCCCACATCAATTACACTTCTATTCCTGGAAACAACTGGCCAAGCCATTCGAGTATCCCATCACCATTACTAACCGATGCGCACTTTTCTATATGAATCTATCATTCAATACGGTGCCACAATGCACCACTATCCAAATCAATGATCAAAACCGTATATTTTAAACCAATTAATCGCTTTGATACACCCATTGTTAAGTTTATGCATCCAGGTTTGTTACAATACTCTTTCAATACCGCATGTAATTAATTCGAATACCAATTAATTCAACGTACTTAAATGGACAATTACCACGTGAAAATGGATTATGTACTTTACAAAATACAATCCCAAATAGTATTAATTTGCGGTTATTTTATACACCTTTAATTAAGAGAACTTGTATATAATATAATTTTAAAGTGTTAATCTAATCCACTAATTAACAAATTAACCTATATAAAATACAACTTCAATCAGAAATGCAATTAAAACTTGAATATTGCATATTCCTTACCAATTTTTAATATTTATCGCGTTTTCCCTACGAAAAAAAAAAATCCCGGGAAAAAAATCGATAAATTTCGTATACACTAAATCGAAAATAAAAATAACATTAAAAACAAATATTTTAATTACCTTTTCATTATAGTAACTACAATTGTTTTTTTCCAAACGAATTCTTCAGTTTCATCTATTACTTAAGTTGAAACTTGTTTCTGTTCTAGAAATTTTAATATTTATCGCGTTTTCCCGACGAAAAAAAAATCCCGGGAAAAGATCGATAAATTTCGTATACACTAAATCGTAAATAAAAATCTCTTAAAAATAACATTGAAAACAAATATTTTAATTACATTTTTCATTATAGTAACTACAATTGTTGTTTCTCAATAATATGAATCTGTTTATACTAGAGGATTGATTTATTGCTCTAGAATTTTTAATATTTATCCCGTTTTCCCGGGAAAAAAAAATCATAATCATAGGATAAAATCCAACAAATTCTAATACACTTGCTATTTTCAATAGCACTACTTGAAACCGTACTAACCGAGAACTTTAATAAAAAGATTTAATAAAATATATAATTTTTGTAGTGGGAGTTATGTAGTTAACAAAATAATAACATAAATGATATTGATTTCAGTTTTGTTAATTATATCTTCAATTAATTTTGTGGTCAGTTTGTCATAGACAATTGTAAATTTTGGTTTGATGTGTTTAATCCTTTCGAGTAATATATCCCTAATTAATTAGCAAACCATTTAATATTTTAATTGATTTGTAATCTTTAATACGAGCTTATAATTTGCAACAATTCAAACAATGCAACTCATGATCCTATTAAGTACTCAATGAACATTATGTAATAATACAAATGTGTAAATCTTAATATTTTCCCGATTTCCCGAAAAACAAATCCATATAAAAAATTCCCGAGAAAACATCGAAAAATTTCTAATAGACTTGCTATTCTAAAGCTACTACCATACATAAATAATGTTTAAAGTTATATAATCTTTTAAATTTTGAGCTACGCGAAAAAGTGCGCTTCAACAAATATTGCGTCTCTTAAAAGTAAGTTTTTCCTTGCTGATGCCAACAATACTGGACGTGTTTTAAGTTTTTGAATACCCTCGGTCATGTATAGCAATGTTTGTTATTATAATTACATTGCTTTACGTATCCGAGTGTTTTCTTAAGCAAAACCAACATTAATTATACCAAAAACTTATGAATATTTTTTTTCTTTGCAATTTTTAACGCAATATATAACGAAACAACGTTAAACGAAGTAACATTGACTTCTATAATAGTAAATAGGTAAATTTAAAGCTTTTTTTTATCGAATAAAATAATAAAATAACAAAATATAATGAATTTCCATAAAATTATAAACTATTTTTTTCTAAATTAATATATTTTTTTTTCAGTGCGGAAATCTAATCTACTTCTGGAACACTATACGAAACCGGAAGTAAACGCTCAAGTCGATAAGGTAAAAAATATTATTACTAAATTATAACTTTAAAATTATATTTCAATTTAAATATAAATTCTAGACTTAAGAAAATCAGATTTTTTTTATAAATATTGACTAACACGATTAATTAGTTTTGTGCTATTTTAAAATGGTTTTATTCCATACTCCAGATCCATATGGACAATCGTTGCACCCTCAGTATTTATATGTAAATTAATTAGTAACTAAGCTATTAATAAATGTGAATAAGTATACTTTAAAGCAATAGAATTATCATGTTATATAAGATTCGTCCGTGTTATTTGGGATAACTTGGAGAACTCAAGTATTGTATTATTATTATATAACCCAATTATTATTCGAAACTCCGTGTAATTCAAGTATCGTGCTATTTTAGACAAGTTGTAATTCAAGTACCGTGTTATTTGAATTTGTTTTTATTTTGCTGAATTAAAATTTAGTTTCAAAATTTTTAAACCGTACTATATGGAAGCCGCACTATGAGAGGTATTGCTGTGCCTATTTTATGATAAATGAATGTAAAGATTATGATTTTGTTTATATACAAGTAAATTTAATAGGTAGCAACTGTGATTTCAATATTTCCATTATTTCGACAATAGAAATTGAAGTAATTGTGTTTCTGTAATGATTAATATAGTATGTATATACATCGGTATAGGATCTTCATTGTGCTGCATTTGTATTAACAGCGGTATTGAATACTGTTTTTCTAGCAAAGCAGTGCGCAGACATTTGTAATATTCAAATCACTGATCAAAACAGTGTACTTTAAGCAAACTAATCTGCTTGTGTAAATGCGAACATATAATATTGTTGAATCTATTGATGATTAATCTAAATTATGTCGACTAGAATCCGTGCATAAGTAAATCACATAAACACGCTCAACTACATTATGTGTAAGTGTATTCGAGATCTACGGCATTAAACCAATTCAGCACCCCATGAAACAATTAGTTCCAAAATTATATTTCTTTCATTTAGATTTTATAAATTTCATAAATCGAAGTAGTAAATGAGTAATGCAGACTTGATCAACTCGCGGCCCAGCAAAAAAGGATAATGAGAAGTAATAAAAAAAAAGATACTTAATAACAGGTGACATATTTATTTGTTGCTACAACAATTTTGTTAAACTCGCCCACGGGCCACATGCGGCCCAGCTAAGTATAGACACAGATCTTTAATTACAGGCGAAAGCAGGTTTGTCCAACTTCCGGCCAAACAGCACTATAAAAAGGTACTGGTGGAGCCATCTCTAAGAAAAGGTGGAGTAATGTTAATATTCCACTCCAATGTGTTAAATGGTTCAGAATTTTGTATCTTCCGGAAAAATATCTAGAAATCAAAAACATTAGAATTATTAGGGAATTACATATTCGATTTCGGTGAATGTACTGGACAGTAAAACTTACGATTAAACTTGTATGAGGAAAAGTAATCCTCCTAGTGAACGTTGAGCGTGGACAGGAACAAGATAGTCTCCATTAAACCAAAATACAAGAGAACTATGCTCAGGAAATTAAAAAAATACAAGAGAACTATGCTCAGGAAATTAAAAAAATCACAGTTCTTGAAACCTATAAATAAAAAACATTAGAATTATTAGGGAATTACATATTCGATTACGGTGAATGTACTGGACAGTAAAACTTACGATTAAACTTGTATGAGGAAAAGTAATCCTCCTAGTGAACGTTGAGCGTCGACAGGAACAAGATAGACTCCAATAAGCCAAAATACAAGAGAACTATGCTCAGGAAATTAATAGAATACAAGAGAACTATGCTCAGGAAATTAAAAAAATCAAAGTAAAACTGGTGATTAAACTTGTATGAGGAATAGTAGTCCTCCTAGTGAACGTTGAGCGTCGACAGGACAGGTAGCTCCCAGGATAGATGTAGCAATTTGCGAACGTGATGATAACCCACCTTTCTAGCAGATAGGAGAATCACCAATTAAAATACTTCAAATGTTCTTTTATATATGCTTCGTTTTACATTCCTTACTTATCTCATGGACACAAATTTACATACTATTTCATAATCGTTAAATAACCACGTCTTGTTTGCATTTGCATTTTTCCGTATTGTTAAAAAAATCAAAGTTCTTGAAACCTACAATGTCCTCGTTAGAAAAACTAAACCAAATTCAAAATGTCGGCAAGTAGAATTGGAAAGATACATAATCTGATCTTATAAGATTGTCCCAATTATTATATTACCACGTCTTTACTTGACATACAAACACAAAAGTCTGAAGGACTTGAAATTCATGGGCCACGATCGAATAAATCCTCGAAATTAATAAAATAAAAAGGACTCACCAATTAATGTCGCCTCGTCGCAGCACTTCCCAATCATGGCAGTGGTGGAAAGAACTACAAAATGCACTTGGAGCCAACTGTACAAAAATAAACTAAATTTAGCGAGAATGACAAAGCAGAATTAAGATTTCCCGTTAGAATTCATCTGAATCTTAAGATAATTACGTCTTAAAATTTAAAGCAATCACACGTGTCTGAAGGACCTCATGGTTAATGTCCTCGTTGGAAAAACTGATCTAAATTCAACATGTCGGCACGTAGAATTGGAAAGATACCACGTCTTAACATCACATGCAATTACAAAAGTCTAAAGGACCTCAAAGTGATTGGCCATGATCGAATAAAACCTCAAAATTAATAAAATAAAAAGGACTCACCAAGTATTATCGCCTCATCGCTGCACTGCCCTGTCGACTGGCGATGATCGGATGTACTACAAGCACATAAAGCCAACTGCCAAATTGATTATTTTTTTAGCGGCAAAATTCAAATTTAAAATCCAACGAATCTAGTTTGTAAATGAATCTAGTTATTCACACAATACGAAAAAAATATTAACACTGCTGAGAATATTAATAATTTGAAGAATAAATAAGATAATGTAATATTTTTTTAAAATTAACATTTTAATGTATAATATTAGAAAATCAGAATTTAATAATGATATAAATATTGTGTAATTTATTCTATATTTCATTTTCTATATAATTTATATAGACGCGTAATAAATGTTTTAACTAAATGATAAATACATTATGTATTCAAACCACAATAATGTTACAATTTGCAAACGATTTAATTATTAACATTATTTGTTTAATTGCGTGTTTTCATTTAGTTCGCAAATCGTATGTTTGTTTTATTAATTAGATATAAAATCATGCTTGCATATTAATTAGTTTTCACAAATTTTACACTGTATGCTATTGTGTTTGTAATATTAAGCTGACAGCATTTTGTATTTATTTGTGAATTTATATTATTAATTAATGTATAACGTTTGCAATATTTGTCACTGTTTTAATTTTATATTTACTTTATGTCGGAGAGTCTGGATTCAAATAAAGTGAAATCATTGTTGCAAGACTAAGCAAACACTATGTTCAACACTAGTTATCAACAAGTTTCTGTTATACAACACAGTTGAAAACTACTGATCCAAGTACAACAATGCACCTGACACCCACACCTTACCACATCCAAACTCTGACTGCTTTTGTCTTTAGACTTGTTTTCTTCGCGAACACATGGGAATATCCTAACACTAGTAAGTAACAAACGTTCACTACACGAAAGATTTCCATATATTGACTATTTTGGGAAGAACTATAGAAAATTTGTACACATTTTTTTTTTTCATTTTAGAGGAATAGATTAGACCGTATTCAAATAATACGAGATATTGGCTGAACTGATTATATCGATCATAATACTATGTGCAACTTCACAGAGTTTTTTTCAGGCAATACCTTTAAAATGGCTTTTTTCTCCAAAAAGGTTTAAAAAAAAACGAAAAAATATATTTCCTATAAAATTAAATATTGTTATAATAATATAATATTTATATAATTTGATAGTTGTTACAATAAATATTGTTATTTTTAAATCAACATTTATTTATTTGTAAAAATATTATATAGTTATACCATACGTTGTTTTTTCTAAGATTAAATTTTCTAGGTCAAGATGTCATCAACGAGTTTGGTGCTTCAAATATTGTTATTGTTAAGGAAACCACAAAAAAAGATAGGTTTACTCGTACGGTCTTATATAGATATATAGGAAAGGGACGGTAAATTCCCAAATCCTTGGGGAGGCAAAGTCCTATATCCGGCTCAGGACTTTGCGGATGTTGTTGGAATCGATATTTCTAATGGCCTGAGAAAATCAATTCGGAAAATTAGTATATGGACTGCTAATAGGGTTAAAGGTTACAGAAACCTTGCGGGGGTTGCCAACCCCTCGGGCTATGAAACCTAAAATTGCCAGTTATTCTCGACTAATGCGTGCAAAAAATGGAAGTGGCGGAGGACGATGAAGAAGTGATCATTTGCATATACTATGTATGCTTTGGAAATAGCAGACCCTGTTTGTATTTTATATCATGCGGATGTGATTTTCGCTCGCGGAACATTAAAAATGCGTTATTTTGCATAATCAAATATTTATGAAACGAAATAATTAAAAGTGATGGTATGTAAGAGAGGGTTGATGATTCCGGGTTCAGTCTGTGTGATTAAAATCGGGATGAAATTAGAAAAATTCCAATTAAAAATAATCAACATAGTGCGAAGTAAAAGTTCGACGGGATAAATATATTCCTGGTAGAGCTCCAAGCTGGATTAAATCATTGACTCTTTAATCGCGATTCCCCGGAGACTTTCCCATTCATCAATGCCTTTTGCAAATTTGCACAAATACCTCATTATTGGAACCGGGATTGAACGAGTCGCGTTCGTTGGCGGATTGCAAATTGCCACTTGGAAGCAGCAACAATGCGTTGCAACTTTATTGACATCAATTACAAGATGTCTTCATTTGTTACGCTATTCCCATCCTACACTCATGCGGTACTTTAATATTCCATAATTATGGAAATATCTATCGATAAATATGTAAGTTCACCAGAAGCATTAATTTCCAATTAAACTTATTACAAAAAAAAATGGTTTGTCCCTTTATATGATTTTTTTATAAAGACCTTCTCAGGTAGTTCTTAGTGTCCTACGGATTCAAGAATGTGCATTTTGTGTCCATTGTACTAGTAACAAATGCCACAGGTCACCTATTAAAGTACTATACACACCACACGTTCCTTAACTTTTAGAGCTGTGAAACATCAATAAAATATATTATTATATATTTTTTTTTGTTTCAATTGTAGCTTTTCTTATTTATACAGTTAAGTCTCTTTTAATGTGATTAATATATAAAAAAAATATAAATTACTTTTATATAAAAATATGTTTTTTTTTATGTTGTTGATATTATGAATGCTTTTAAATATATACATTATTTAAATATTTTAAAAGCTTTACAAATAGTAAAATGAAACATTTTATAATATCAAGTTTATTACTTGTTTATATTATAATGTTTGCATCCATGAGTGTTAATAATATGCAATTTTTTTTTGTATTTTAAAGAAAGTGAATAATTAAGTTAATGTTTCTATTCAATTACTGTATTTTGTTAAATAGTATTATAGTTAGCAGAAAGACTGTGGTCGTTAGTAGTTCCCGAAGATTCCCGGGATTGAATGTTGGTAAAATCTCGGAATTTCCCGAGAACTGAAAATTTTGATATTAATGTTTTAATTCCTTTTGCATTGTATTATCAATTTGTCGTTTTATAAGATTTGGTCTGTTTTCGTATTTTATAGTATTACAATTGTCAATATTCCGTTCCTAATAATCCAAGGATTTAAATCGTGATTCCTGGGAGCTGGGATTAAAAAAATGTTAATTTCCCGGGAGTGAATTTTTATACATTAGTATTCATTGTGGGTTGAAGAAACTACTGATAATAAAATTAGGTTATTATCCTACATAAGGAAAAAGCATGCGGAAGTTGTCATTTATATTGCATATTAGAAGAGAATGATTGTATTTCTGTTTTTCTCGAGATTTCCGGTAGCATGAGATTAAATTGGAGTCCGCGGATCTCCAGGGAGCTCGCGTTGATAAATCCGCGCCAACAAAGATATCCTTAACTATAACATCGAGAATGCTGCAGTAGTAGTAGGTATGAGCTTTTCCATTTCGGCCTTCTCTAAGAGGTCGCGGCAGTAGTTCGGAAGAAGATCCTGATAAACTTTTATCGTAATCGATTGCAGAGCACTACTTAAGGGGTGAGGCAGGAAGGGTTGTAGGGTTGCCGCGGGGGAGTTACTACCAAGGGATTCGTTAAGATAAATGGGATGAAGTTTGTGAGCAAAGCGCCATGTAGAAACGTTTATGTTGCAGGTAGAAACTACGATCCTATAACTGTGCCATTTTTAGACGTTCGCGTACATCACGATTCCACCGGGTTATTACATCAGTCTATTTATCATCCGGATTTTATTATCGCACCTGGCGAAGGAATGGGAAGAAATTCAGGATTTCGGGAGTCGCCACTTTCGATGGAAACGCGTCCGAATGCTTCGTTTACACAAAACACCTCTCGGCACTCGATAAAACTTCAGGACCCCTAGAAAAGAAATAAGGTCACCTCGGGCATGGAGAGAGAACTGAAGGGAAGAAAGAGGAAACAAATTAAGAGTTTTTTTTTGCACTTGAACAGCTGTATACTTTCTTGAAGGAAACAAGTGTTAAACTTGTTACAATCTATATGGGACTTAGATATACTTTCTGCATCTGGCGATAATCACCAACTTAACATTTTACTGCTTTGTCGATGAAATTACATGCAAACATACTAATTTTATTTCTAATGGACATTGTATATTTTACAGTAGAAATTCTCATTTTGTATCTATTAAGTTCCTCGGTTTCAAATATTTCATGGTATTTCGGATTGAATATATATAAGTACGTATATACTAAAGAGACAATACATTTGTTAACTTATTTAACTTGTCCGGTACAATTTATAAATTGTATGCTAGCTCTGCATTCCTGAGGTTAGTTTTGACTCGTGATGCCTGCAACTGCCATTCACCAGAGCACTAATCGAATGATTCCTGGTCATTGAATATACGTTCTTCTTTTCGTGACAGTTCTATTAACTTATAACATTGTTGTAATATAAGAATTCCAAGTAAGAATTTTCTTATTATTTTATATTTATTATACGAAACATTATTTTTACTAACCTATATAATTACAAACCATTGCGATGTTTGAAAACTTGATTACTTTTCATTTATTCATTTTCATGTAATTTATTTATCATAATCAATATTATTTTTATCTACATTATTATTATGTAAAGAATTCCTTACGGATTTGATTAATATTAATAGTACAACAATTTGTATGTTTACAATATAGCTTTTTCGCGGGCCGAGATCACTGATTTAGAAAATATGAAAATTTGTTGCGTATTTCTTAAGGATTTGATTATTTCATTCTCATTTATATGAGAATCTACAATTTTACACTACAGATTTTCTTGTTAGATTATTTAATATTTAATATTGTTGAAATTAAAGAGATGAACGTTTTTCTTTCATTTTATTAATTTATATGAGAGAATTATAATTTTACAATAATATTAAGAACAAATTACGTACATGGAAGTTCGAGATTATTTTATACAGTTATTCCAAGCTGAATCAAATGCCTTCTGAAAACCTATGAAAAGAACAGACGCGGATCTTCGTTCGACGTGGGATGTTTGTAAATGAGATGTACGAATCGCTAAGGGAACAAAAGTTGATTTATCACTTCAGAATAGAAATTGACAACGCTGGATTAGTCCAATATAGTTTGTTACTCATTTTTTTTTAA